TTACCTCTTGGCTTTAAATGGAATTAGTTCATTTTATTAAAATTTTTTAGCATGCTGCTGCACATCTGCCTAAGCCATCAGCAGTTGCTAACCACCTTTAGGTATGCCTTAGAAGGCTGTGTCAGAGAGGTATATTGTTTTGTGCATTGGCTTGTAACATAGAGAAAAGTGTTATATACATGCATATATGTATATGCTATATATGTATAATAAGTTGATTTTATTTTAAGTTTGAATATCAAATATTTTCCCAGTAAGCTCGGATAGTTTTCGGGCGATTTCAAACTCAAATACATATTTTGATCGACTCGAGATCGAGAATTCTTTTTCCGATTTCAAAATCAAATATATCTTTGGGTTCTCATGAAACAATATCGGCATTCAAAAACTTCTTTCATGCAACTCTCAACGTATAAATCAGTAAAAAATAGTATTTTCAGGTTAACTTTGGGGAGGAAGTATCCACAAACTATTTCACTTAATTATTTACTACTTTCAGCTTGAGGACAGCAAGAAAACGTCATCATAGAAGATATAACCCTATAGATGTAATTGATAAGCAAGTATTCTTGATATATTAGCTTGAAGCTGTTTGTCTAAGCGTGTAGAGATATAATAGAACCTTCCGTACGTTAACTTCCAATTGGATATTTGCTAGTCGAGCATGTCCCACCATACGCGCGCATCTTCTATTTTTTCATTTTTCAAATTGCGTAATTTTCATTAGTTTGCTGCATTTGCCGACAAATTAAGAGCTGCTGCTGCTGCCRCTGCTGTCCCACTCAAACCCACTCGACTCTGTCACTCTGTCTTGCCTCTACGTGCCCCCCTTCCAGTCCAGCCGTGGCCCAACTGGCGCAGGTCCATTTAGCTAGCTGCAGTCCAAAGTGCGTAGCTGCAGGATACGCATGCAAATAAACGAATGTGAGTGCCGGACGACCCTTGCAGGCAGGCAGGCAGGCCTAAGCAGGGCCTGTGAGGGGCCTGGGCCTGGGTCTGGGCTGTTGATGTAGTAAATGTATTTGTGTGGTTTTCAATTTTACGTTTTTTATTTGTATATATTTTCACTGCCTATATATGGACGAACATGTATTTTTTTTATATTTTATACGCAAATAATTGTGAATCTCTCTCTCTCTCTCTCTCTCTCTCTCTCTCTCTGCGGTGGGTTTATTGTTTGGTTTGTTTGGGTTTTTATTTTTTATTTTTAATTAAAAACGGAAGTAAATGCGAATGCAGGGATGCCAGGCAGTCAGCCAGTCAGCCTGGTTGACTTGTCAAGTGCATGCGTATGGGTGCGTGTGTGCGTGTGTGCGTGCATGTGTGTATTAGGCGTGTGTATATCGGGCACTTTGGCCATATTGTAGTGTTTTGCTAACAATGCAATTTTCAGCGCATTGTTGCTGCCTGCAACTCCCTTTTGATGGACGCACATCAAATCAAATCCTTAGCTGCGGCAGCATTCGCATTTTCAGACTGTCGCCCGCCCAGTCGTTCAGTCGCCCAGTCGCTCATTCGCCTGATGAAATGTCAAACGTGTTCCCGTTCCAAGATAGCCGGGCAAACAGTGTGTAAGGCACTACGGATACGGATGCGGATACTCTGGCGGCCGCTTAGAGCTGCCAGTCTCTGTGCTCATCCGTACACCGCCCACCGTCCACCGCCCACCGCCTACATATGCCACATGCGCCACGCACAAACTAAACCAAACTCAACAACAATAAAAACATGGCAACAATTCAAAACTGAAGAGTTTTTCAAATAACGAAAAAAAAAGCTGCGGAAAAGGTAAGCAAAAAAAAAAAAAAAAAAAAAAAAAAAGCCAAACAAGAACGGGAGAAAAAAATCGAGAAAATTAAAACAAAACAAACAGCTGAACGCATCATCGTCGGCATCAGCAATGGCATCCTCATCAGCCTTTGGCTTTGCCTCTGCTCTGCTCCTCAGCCACGCATGAGGAGATTTTGGTTTGGCTTTTGATTGACGAACTTGGCTGCCTGACTGCCTGCCTGCCTGCCTGCCTGCCTGCCTGCCTGCTTGACTGTTGTTAACGCCCACCAACCACCCACTACGTACCGCCTGCCGCCTACCGCCCACCGGCTGCTGATATGCTTTTCACTCAAACTCATCAACGTCAGCGACGCATTCAAATCGTTTTGATGGACTGCCGCACTGCCACAGCCTTTATCCGGCCCCCAACCCCAGCTGCCACATGCAACGCATCCTGGCACAAAAAAAATACAAAATGGAGAAAAAAACATGTAAGATTGCTATAGTTGGGAGTGCTTTATTAGCCAATACCCTGTACTGTCATACTCGGTCATAATTCAATAAGTTCCTATAAAGAAGGCTCTTCCTATTGCTGGGAATCCACTTTTGATGCTGTTATATTGATATTATCTTGATACTCAAATTTATTCTTATGTAAGCTTGTCCTCCTCCCATAGAATCGTAACTTCATCCTGTCGCAACATTTTCCTTTCACAAGTTTCTTGTATCATATTATTTTTGTATCCAAGACTCTCTATATACTGACTCTTTCATAATCTTACTTGTTCCTATCCATGCATAACTACTATTCCAAACCATTTATAGCCTAACTTCTGACTATCTTATCCTAACTTTATAGCACCCCAAATTCCTCTCCAAAATTTTTAGGATTTTTTTTTTGTAGTTATGCTTCAATAATCATCGATTTAATAAAAGTTTCTTCATAAATCTCTAGTACTTATCATTATTACTAATATATTTCAGAAAAAAGATACAGATTGGTTTTGTATACCACAAAATCTAATATGCATGATCGCATCTAAATTAAGTAAATTTGTATTTCATCTGACTTCGATTTTGTTTGTCATTTGCTCGTTGCATATGCTAACAAGCAGAAACTGATATACCCCGTCGGCTCATTGCAACACATGGATTTAGGGTATTGAAAAAAAATTACACAAAACCTTTGCACAATATTTGTATTTTACGCAATTTTTACTGACTGCCATGTCGTCCGTCGTCCGTCGTTCGTCGTTCGTCGACTGTTGACTGGCTGCTGCCTGATTTGCAAACCGATTTGCAACATTGTTCATGTCAGTCGAAGTGCATTGTTAATAATCAGGCTAAGCGTGTGTGTGTGTGTGCGTATGTGTGTGTGTGAGCACTAAGTTCTATTAGCTGGGCACTTGTTTGCTCAGCCATTGTCTTTGCCCAGCAGCAGGATCAGTGTGACAATAATTGTGGCATTAAAATCTATTCGAGAAGCCTCAGCACTAATTAAACGAAAAATGTCTTTTGTCTTTGACATTAGGGCCACTCAAATGTCATGCTTAATGCCAGACGGCACAGTTATTCATTGCAAACTTGAGGAAAAGTTAAATCAGTTTTATTGCGCATACGCCCCGCTGGCCGTTTTGTTGGCACCCTTTGGGCAGGAGAGTCAGCCGGAGCAGAGCAAGGCAGAGCCTGCAACGCATGCAACGGTTAACACGCTTCCACTGCAACGCCTTTTCACAGTTAATTTGCCATAAAATATGCCAGCAACAACAGCCGCCAGCTGCTGCTGCTGATGGCATGAAACTCTCGWTTCTCGTTGTCGCAATTAAATTACCAAGCATCCAGTCGCTACGCCCCGCCACGCCACGCCCATCAACTGTTGCCAAAAAGTTTTTAAGCTGCCAAAACTTGAGCTAACCGAGCACAGAGCACAGAGAACAGAGAACAGAGAGAGTGAATCTGTTTTCACACCAGAAACTTTTGCCACAACTTTTCGTCAGCATTTGCTCTCGTTTCCGCTTTTATTTTATTCTATTTTTCTGCTGCTCCCTCGGCTTCTTTCACTTTTGGCATATTTTCTCACATAATCTGGCATGTAAATGATATACAACCGCAAAGTTGAGCATACTTTGCATGCGCCAGCTAACTGTTGCCGAATAACAGCCCAAGCCACTTGTTGCCGTTAGCAACAGCTACTTTTAGTTGGATTTTGGGGCTTTTCCGGCTTAATCTGATTGAAAATTAACTTCATTAATGCAAACTATCAGATTTGCAGTTATTTAAGAATGAGGAGGCTGTAGCCGTTGAGAGCCTCTAATTGTTTTAAGTTTGCAATTAAACGAGTATATTGGTTTGTAAGGCAAGTCAGTTACTGTTAAGGCTCTCTATAGATAGTCGATAAAATAAGTGTATATATGTATATATTAACACGCATGGGACGTACCAAGCAGTGGGAAATCGATGTCTTCTAAAGTTAGCTAGAAAAGAAACCCAAAATTCCCTAATAAAAAGTAAAAAAAAAATATGATAAAAAAAAAAAAATAAATA